TTGATGCTATTAAAACAGTTGATTAGGAAGGTATGTTATCTGTGTCTGCACTCGAAAAAATGTCGTTTTCTTGTCATTGACAATGACTATTTATACTATTATAGATCTGCTTGTCATATTTCTAATCTTTCCTTTAAAATGTAACATTCAAATACAAGTTTTTGCTAACTTGGTCACGGGTTTTCCTAACGGACAAAAAAGTTTGTCTATGAGCATGTTTTTCTCTCGGGCGACTTTTTTTTTTTTTAGGCAGACAGCTAAGAGTACATTGTATCTGTGTATTAGATTACTGCAGCTATTTTTCAAGATTAAAACTTCCAGTGTGTAGATCTTGAAAGCAATGTCTGATCCATATTCATTAGCACATAACGATATCTGTTGAAATCTCGAAGCTTGACATTCATGCTGCAACTCCATACGGCATCTATGGTGTATCCATTCGGCCGCTCCACCGCTACATATATGGAAGACCCGGGTTCGATTCCACGGTGAAAAGACATTCCTGGTGTTTCTGGTGGGATGTTGTACCCCTCTCAGCCCGAGTTGGCCCTGACAGGCAGGGTGGTGCCTGCCTCCTAAATAATCGAAGCAGAGTCGATCGTGACGTAAAATCCCCTATTAAAAAAAAAAATAACTAAAAAACAACCACCCCCCAAAAAAATCCTTAAAAAAACCCACGACAAAACGAAAACACAAAAAAAAACCCCAAACAAACAAAAAAAACCCGAATGCCTTCACTGAGTGGGATCCCGAAGACATCTTGTTAAAGTTATAATAATGTTCTCCTTATGTGCAAAAAACCTCCCAGAGGAATGTACCTTCCTCCTCGTAATCTCCTTTGTACTACTCAGACCAGAAGCTTTATGAATAATGTCACTACAGTCTACGGATTTGGATGACCCTTTTCAGTGGACCTTATCTTTGTCCTGGCTTGTTTGGTTAGTCTGAAGTAGAGCTGGGCAAAGAGTCGCTTTACCAAAATCCGGATAATATGTTAGTGCACCTCTTCGGCAAATAATATAATATGAACGACTTCGGCAAATGTGATAAAACCACTTCAACAAACGGGTTAACATCACTTCAACAAACGGGTTAACATCACTTCAACAAGTGGGTGCACCCACTTCGGCAAACGGGGCTCAGGAAAGAGTTAAGAGTCTGAACTCGAAAGATGTTTCATTGAGAATGATCCGGTTCTCCTTACAGATTATCCGGATTTTGCCCACCTGTAGTCTGAAGGGTCATCAGCACTTGACTCGACAGGCGCGGAGACTGGTGGACTGTTCCTGGCTTTCCTCCTTTGATCATAAATTGAGTCATGTCTCACCCTCTCTATCTCTCTCTCTCTCTCTCTCTCTCTCTCTCTCTCTCTTTCTCTCTTTTTCTCTCTCTCTTTGGCTCTCGTTATCTCTCTGTGTCTCCCACATTCTCTCTCTGTCTCTATCCCTGTCTATCAAACTTTTCTCTTCTTCTCTCACTCTGCCTCTTTCTCAGCCTTTCTCAGTCTAT